GAGGCGGGGTATCGCGTTTGCGCGAGGGCGCTCTCGCGAGGTTTCGGCTGCTATTAAAGGCGGCGTGCGCATGCGCATGGCACTCGTGGCCTGTGCGTGGTGAGGTACTGGTTGCCTGCTGTCCGGTCGCGTTGTGGGAGGTCGGGCCTGTTGTAGGCCGGTGGGTGTGACTGTGCCTTGTTACCCCTCCGCAGCCTTCCTTCCTTATTTCTCTGCTCGGGTCTGTGTGCGTGTAACGACATGCGCAGCCCTGTGAGGTAGTAAGAGAGGCGCTTGGCCTCGGCTGGCTGCCGCAGTTCTGCGTGAAGGGGTTCGCGTGTGCTCAGAGCTTTTTGGGAAGAGGCACTGCGCTCTGGCGTCCAGGGTAGCTGTGCTCTTTGTATTCGCACCATAAATAAAGCGTGTTGATGGCGGGTGTATGTAGGGATAGAAGTAGCTCTATACTCTCACCTGAACACCGTTCTAGGGGCTGGCTTTGACCCTGCCTTGCGCTCGCCCTACCCTCAACCCGTTTCCTGATGCTCCTCACAGGCAGTGGAGTAAGCCACAGGCTTCCCTGGGGTGAGTGACCCGGTGCAACACGCTTGTACTGCCAGGGGATTTCAGCTGCTGCTGCTGGGTTAAGGCATGGTGTGAATCGCACCTTCCTTTCTTAATTACTCTGCTGCCTTTAATAACAATTAGTTACAGCGAGGGCAGGGGTGCAGGTTGATGCAGTGGAGTGTTGCTCCTTGGGGACTCTGGTTTGTGGGGTGGTGTTTGCCTCTGGGGCACAGCCTGGCAGCTTGGGGTTTCCCAGACGAGCGACTCATCCTCTTTCAGGGCATGTTCTGGGGTGAGCAGTTACTTTTTTGGATGGTAGCAGCAGCAGCAAAGTTGCCTGTCTCAGGGTGGGAGAGGGGAAGGGATTCATGCAAGGTGGTTGAGCAAAAATGGGACAAGTGGTGCCTGACCCACTGCTGGCAGCTGCCTGGGGGTCTCTGTGGGGCTCAGCGCTGCTTGGGCTTTTTCCTCTGTGATTTGGCCGCTGCGGGGCTGGCCTCTGGTTCCCGCTTGATGCCTGGAGGAGGGGAAGGCAGCTGGGGTGATGGCTGGGCTGTGGGGGGACCTGGGTACTTCTTAGGGAATCTGTTACCTTTCCGGGCATGGGCTGCCTTCATGCGCCCCAGGTTCCTCTTGCTCGCCACCCCATGCTCCACTATGGGCTGGGGGTAGTGGGTGCCCACCAGACATCCTGCCCGCTCCTGCACGGCCCGCGGCGCCCTCCAGGGCTCGTAGATGTACTCAGCAGGGAAATCCTTGAGGATGGGGAGGTATTTTCTACAGCGAGGGGTCAAAGCCACCAGAGACACCACCTCCCCATCTTGTGTGGCTTTGGGTTTCACGCCTACCGAATGTATGCCCCATCCCGGTCCGTCTTCTTGCCGAAGGCGACGGGCGAGTAGACGTGGAAATACCGGTGGAAGAAGGCGCTGCTTGACAGCCACAGCCAGTTGCCAGCGTTGAGGGACCAGTCAGCATCTAGCAGGAGCTCCTCAAAAACCTGTGGGACACCGCAGTGGCATGGGGAACGGGGTGCCCAAGAGCCCAGTGGGTGCTGGTGGGTGGTTGGGGGAGATCTCCTGACCTTCAGCCCTTCTTCCCAGGAGACCCAGAGGTCCCCACGGGTGAGGAAGCAGGCGACGGCGTGCCGAGCGAGGTGGTGGATCCAGCCCTCGGTGCGCAGCTGGGTCATGATGGCATCGATGAAGGGGTAGCCTGTCCGGCCCTAGTGTGGGGTGTTGGGGTTAGATGGGGCAGGGGGATGTTTGGGGGTGGGGTCAGCGGTGTTGGGGTATATCCCTGAGGGAAATACCTCCCTCCAGGCGCGGAGGTGCTCGGGGTTGTTTTCCCAGTCAACCTGCAGGCAGATGGGGTTGCCAACCATCCGGTCAAAATTGGGGATGCTGCTGCCAGCGGTGTAGAAAAACTCCCTCCAGAGGAGCTGCCCGTGCAAGGAAATGGGGGGCTGAGAGTGCTCCCGCTGCCGGCAAAGGTGGGATCAGCCCCTCCATCTGAGCTGGTTCCTCCTTCTCCAGCCCCCCACCCCAAAAATGCTGCCTCACACGCTGGTACGACTGCCCC